AAAGAAAGAAAGAAAGAAAGAAAGAAAGAAAGAAAGAAAGAAAGAAACTTCCATAATATCAACCCATACAGAAATCCAGCATGCAATTTTTTCACCTTCTTGTTGTAAAAGAAGAGGAGTCATTCCAACAAAGGAAGTGATCAAATATCTGGAAAAGGAATTTGTTCCTTCAAAAGTAGGTATACAGAGAAAAGTAGGAGAGCAGGGCAATGCCATTATTTGCTAACAAATACTTCCAAAATTGAACATGTTGCTATCAAAAGCACCAAGAATGGTTTCCCAATAAAACAGTAGCACAAAGATGAAGCCAAAGAGAAAATTCAGAGCTTGACCCAAGTTGTCCTTTATTCCTGATCTGATATAACAAAAATAAATTGTGCTGTATCAGATTGGGTAGCTAGAAATCTAGCTCTAAAAAGAGTTTTTTAAAATCTCTATTGAGATGTTTTAGATGTCTTAACCTTCTGAAAGACTATACTGTTTTCCTCTATTGAAACAGCTGTACCAGAATACTTCAAGATAAAAACAGTCTCTTCCCTCTCCCCAACAAATGCATAGGGGATACAGGTAGAATACTATACTTAGCTACAAAAAGTGATAGAAATAAACCTTGTGATAGAGTGCTATGGTGCTATTGACTGTTAACATACACTGCCCATGAGTACCCAAAATTTAGGTTTTAACAAATCTATTTATCATCTACTGAACAATTTTTATCCTTGTTAAATAAAACTGGCATTTATTTTTTGCAAATATCAGCTAAATAAGATTCTATCAGGCTTATCTTTCAATCTGCTATGAAAAAGATAATTGAATTTAACTGTATTTGCGAATCTTTGTAGCAGAAGCAATGATTTTATTATCTGATTAGCACATTTGAGTACTATTCTACTTTCTTGTCAATAAATATTAATTCATATGATTTGGTTTAAGATTTTTTCCAGGTTAAGTGACTTAAGCTAATATAGTACGCTATCATTTCTCTTAACAGCAGTTTCTGATGGAGATGGTGAAAAATTACCTGGTGAGGCTATGAGAGCCATCACTCCATAGTAAGAGAAAGCACCAGCTTCAAACTTCATTCCTTCTTTCCCAGCCTCTACTTCTACTTTTCCCTGCAGAGAAAAAAAAAAGATAACATTCCTATTTAGAATTAGAGCAAACGCTGGCCTAGCTACAGATCTATTAATTTGTTCACCTTAGCAATCATTTATTCTTTTTCAAAAATAGTTTTTCTTTTACATGTGTTCCGAAGTATAACTGGTTTGCCGTCAATACCTCAGAGGCTGTATTTCTCAATTATGCTCAATAATTGAACATAAAAGATTTTAAACAAAGGAATAAACCATTCTGGCTATGAATTAAACAGATTTACTATGAGGGACAGTGCCATATATATTTCACAATGACATCTGAAGGAATGCTTTATGCTTCTTTCCAATATATAACTTTCTATTCCCCTCTGCTGTTTCCTAACATTATCTTAAAGGCCAGGCAAGCCAGCTTTAGAGGATCAGATAGGTAGTTGCTTGAACTAAAGCCAATTGGTGGAGAAAGTGGAAAAAATGGCAAATACAATGTGAGCTAACAGAGCAGAAGACATCAATTCCAAAATTGGCAAACTAGCATTGTTACTTTGAGAATCCCAATTCTATACCAGGTTCAAGGAATTCTATCTTCTGTGCAATTGTTCAACACTGATGGTACATATAAAAATGTTTGGTATTTATACTTTTGAAGCTTTGCATGCTTCAAATTCCAAATTAATTAGCAGCATACAAAAATGGAAATTTTAGAAGCTGCTGGGATCTGATGTTTCATGGTTAGTCCACAAAGAAAACGGCTCCTGTTTTTCGCAGATGGGACCAAGGCTGCTTCATAAAGTTTAGCAAAAAGTTGATTACGACGGGAAGAGCTCAATGTTCATTTTTGGTCATCTTAAAGGTAGCCAACTGTACCAAAGACATTGGGGATTTGGGGAAACAAAGTGAATTAAAAATAAGCAAAACAAAACTAGGAATATTTATTAAGAACTGAAAAAATATAACTTAAGAGAAGGACAAAACAGTAGAATTCTTATTCTGCTACTATCATGTCTACAGCAAAGTGCTTTCTTTCTTCACTTGAATTGGGAGGAAAATCTACCAAGTATTTTAGAGTCTACTTTTGCTGTTCCTCAGTAGCACAGCCAGTAGATACTCATTTCTGTGCTGTCCTTTCCTCTACCACTTACTATCATCTTCCAACAGGAAGGACTACCATCAATTATTTATTTATTTTATTTTACTTATTTGATTTGTCAATCGCTTACAAGATACAGGTATAAGAATAAATATAGTTTTGAATACATGAGATAGATACTTATAAGGAAAAAAAATAGGACAGGGACGGTAGGCACGATTGGTACGCTTATGCACGCCCCCTGCAGGCCTCTTAGGAAGGGGGTGAGGTCAATAGTAGACAGTCTAAGGTTAAAGTTTTTGGGGGTTGAGGAAGAAACCACAGAGTCAGGTAGAGTATTCCAGACATTGACGACTCTGTTGCTGAAGTTGTATTTCCTGCAATCAAGTTTGGTGCAGTTAACCTTGAGTTTGTATTTGTATGAGTTTGTGTTGTTATGACTGAAGCTGAAGTATTCATTTGCAGGTAGGACATTGCAATGTATGATTTTATATACTATATTTAGATCGGACCAGAGGCGGCGTAGTTCTAGGTTTTCTAGGTCTAGAGTTTCAAGTCTGGTGGCATAAGGTATTCTGCAATGAGTAGAGGAACGGAGAACTCTTCTTGTGAAATATTTCTGGACTTTGTCAATTGTGTTAATATCAGATACATGCTATGGGTTCCAGACTGATGAGCTGTATTCAAGTATAGGTCTAGCAAATGTTTTGTATGCTCTAGTTTGTAGTGTGATATTACCAGAGAAGAAGCTACATAGGATTAGATTAACAGCTCTTAATGTCTTTTTGGCTAAGTAGTTACAGTGGGCTCTATATATGTATTCAATATATTTGGCATTCAGTTCAGCTTTGTATTGCTTAATTTTGACTTTATTACTAGAACTTTCATCAAACTAGTTCTGGAAATCACATGATTCCCAGTCCCCAAAGGCAGAAATGTACCACTCTAAAAATGAGAATTCATGTATAATAGAGGTCAGGGGCTGTCACGCACAAAGGCTGACAGCTTTCTTCAGCTGAGAGCTGTGAAGAGTGCAGTGCATCTCATCCCCTTGTTGGGCTCCTGACTAGAGGATAAAATCTAAATAGCTTTTTCTCCTTTTCCCCTCAAGAGTGTTAGCAGAAATGAATGCTTTTAAAATGGAACAAGGGTTTCACAGATATGAACAAGTGAGATTCACCACTTCAAGCATCCTATTTGGAAAACTGGGATGTTTTTTTCCATCTGACGTTCTCCATCACAATTAAGCTTTCTGTTTCTCCTTTAAGAGATACCCCTGCTAAATACATAGACCTTAGTTCAAAATATATATACTTAGATCAGCACTGTCTCTGTTTACAAGAGAGTCAAATTTCAAGGAAAGCAACCAATGGAATGAGCAAATTCATATTTATTGGATAGGGGAAGGAAAGAATATTCCAGAATGCTTCTAAGTTCAGATTTCTCTCTATATATATATACAAACACATGCATGCAGACAGATGTATACATACAAGCACACAGTTTCCCATTTAACTGGCTCTGCAGTCACATGTTCCCTCATCTCATTTGCAAATAGGAGGAAAAGTTATTGGCTGAAGTTCTCCCTTTTTTAAAATTTTTGCTTACCAACGGGAGTATTGATCTGCTGGTATACTTGTGGACCGTTTTCCACAAAGTCAACATTTTCTTGTCTAATTTATAATATTATCTTCTAAATTAAAAATGCAATGCCTCTCTTGTCAACTACACTGTAAGAGCCACAGAGTTTCAGAGCCCATTGGGTGGAGGGGAAGATTGCACCAGACAATCGAAGCCCAGAAGGTCACTGAGGGTTCCTCCTTAATATGACCTTAAATGACTGCATGGGAGGTATTTTGTTAGCAATGAACTGAAAATAAGATGCCAGCAGACTTAGCCCAACTTCTTCCTGTGAACAGCAAGCTGCTGACAAGGTGGAACTCTCTTGTGAGGATATGCCCTTAGGAAAAGTAAGTGAGCTGTCTTCACACCACAACAACCAAGTGGCATTTAAAGGAAAAATGAACAGAGAGCTATTAGATCACTAAAGAATATTACATACAGGTAGCCACAATTTGCAGAGAATATATCAGGAAAGCAAAAGCTCAGAATAAGCTGAATTAGCAAATGATCTCGGGAATAACAAAAAGAGATTCTTTGGGTATGTTTAAAATAAAAGAAAGAGGGAAAAATAGTATACCAGCTGCTAACTGAAGTTGGCAAATGATAACAGATAACAAAAGCAGAACTATTCAATTCCTATTTTAGCTCAGTCTTCTCTGAGAAAAGAATACGTGTTCCATCAGGGAATTATGAAGAACCCAAGGAAGGAACAGGTTTCCAATTCAAGCTTGTGAGAAATATTAGTCAGATACTGACCTTGAATGAGTTCAAATCTCCAGGGCCAGATGGATTGCATCCTAGGGAACAAAAGGAAATTGCTGAAGATCTGGCCAAAACTTTCCAAATCAGGTGAAATAACAGATGACTAGAAGAAGGAATGCAGTGTCCTTATAGAAAAAAAGGAACTGCAGACCAGTCAGTCTGACACCTGGGAAGATTTTGATTTTAAAGCAATTAATGTTAAGAGACTTGAAAATAATATGAAAAATACTAAAAAGTGTGGATTTATTAAGAACAAAACTTTCAAAACTGATTTATTTTTTTACCAGGTAGCTTCCTTTATAGTCTGTAGAAATGTAGTAGGAATAAACGTATCTTGATTAGCAAAAAATTCATCAGCTACTCTGTGGCACTCTGGTTAGCAAGTATCAGCTGAATCACACATCTGTAATATGGATCTACAGATTATTTGAAAACCATTCTTGAAACTGAATTTTAATTTCTCAAACTGAAGTGATATATAAAATAGGATACCACAAAGCTTAGTCCTGGACTATTTTCATTAATATTAATAAGTTGAATGAAGAAATAGAAGGGATTTATAAAATTAGATGATCCAAACTGATGTTAATACTCTATAAGACAGAAGTAAAATTCAAAATAAACCTGAGATAAAAGAGAAATGGATTTTAAAAACATAGAGGAGAGGTTCCTTCTAAGGATGGAGAAAAGTTTGCAACAGGGATCTCGATTTAATTTTGACATATAGAAATATCTGTACTGGCTCATTGCCGCAATACAAACAACTTCATTAAAGCAAAACCTTAATAATGTTCTCTCTACCAAATGATACAGTTATCATACACACAAGAATGGGACTGATTTCTTTAGATGGATGGAGTTTTTGTTGTCTTCTCTGACAGGATGTATTACCACAAAAATGCTAAATATATATTTCCTAAAATTTGCAAGATGAATTACATCAGGGACTGAGAATGATGTTACTCTGCTTGTTTATATGAACAATGGCTCTCTGAGGTGACCTGAGTGGATTAATTTTAAAAAACTAAAGACTTTAAGCAACTTTGCAAAGAAGTTCTAAGTAACAGGTGTGACATCATCATTTTGTTACCAACCATCAATCATATATTTGATCCAAACCTAAATGTGTATCCCACTGTAAGTTCAATGGAAATAAGAGCAAAGAAAGGTCAACAGTTTTATTGGTGAACCCTGTCCATCAAAGAAAAGAAACACAAGTTGCCATGGAAGACAAGGGTACTCCCAAAAGCGCACTGTGAGAAGAATGAGTAATTGGCATCATGTAATAGCTGAACAAATAACATTATTATAAGAATAATTGTTATAAAATGGAAAAAGCCTCTGAACCGTGAAAAGGCTGATCCCAAGCGGGACTCATTAAGTCAATATGACAGAATGTCTTATGGAATGGCAGAAAGATCTCTGCATGACTGAAATTCAGGAGGATCCTAGAAAGAATAAGGTTTGACATAGCTGAAAGTGCAATCTTATGGAAAGTTCTATGGGACTGAGAAAGGGTAGCTTGGACATGTCCTCAAGTGGAAAATCA